CCGACTCCCTTTGCGGGCTTCAATTTGCGATTTACGAGACTGGACCCTGATTACTTTCCGTATCAGATTCCCGGTGACAAGCGTACATGTTCAAGAACCAGTTCTGGGTCCAAATTGCGCGACCGCCAAACATGATTTTACGAGACCGGACCAAGTATTCGTTCTTTGTCACGACCAAAAATGACATCTCACTATATTGAAATATAGTGAGAGAGTTAAGTGTACTGGAACAGTGTAATTTAGATGTAGTGAGAATACTTTGTAAAATTGGTAATAAGCAAAACAATGGGCGAAGTTTAGGTAAAAACACAAGATTGAACAGTTGCAGAGCTCCTCAGAAAGAATGTACACCACCAAAGGCAGCAAATGGGTACAGGTAAACTACGCGACAGGGAGCTAAAGTGTTAGTTGTACGAGAAGTGAGCTGTAAGAGAGCTTCAACCAATCAGAGGCTGTTACATACTACACCCGCGTTATCATTGTTCCAAGGCTGTACTGAATATAGTAATTCTATCATTTATCAGAGGCAAGTATAGATAATCGGACAGTACATCTAAGGACGCCAGTCTGTTAGCGAAATATTTATTGTTTTTAGAAATTATCACATAAACTATTAATTATTACCTTGGAGACTTGTGCAAGTCTACACGGGAGGCTAAATGCTGGTTTGTTGTCTCAGAAAACCTGCAAATTCTCCAACCCAAAGTCCCATGCGGCCATCATTTGTCAAATCTTACAGTCCATACATTACTTTGTATGTGGTATTTTGAACTTCTTTGCTTTGAAAGGGCTACGTATCGAATAAAACACCTTTGATAAACCAGTTTGATTTTACTGAGAAAATACACTAAACACTATTCCGATTTGTGTAGCGATCCTTTGTTTACAGTGGTTGTCTGGCTTCTTGTGCTGTAATGGAAGACCTAAGAACAAGCTATACAGTCATTTGGATTTATAAATATGTATTGTCATCCACCTTATTGTCGCAGCTGTAGAAAAATATTTACTTAACTATGAAAACAGTCGGAAGAGAGCATCGGAAATATTGGTATAAGTTCAGTGTCCTCTAATACACTTATGCGCGTTTGTCTGCAAACAGGGGAAAGGTCTGGTCACGTGATATGCAAATTAGTCTGTGGTAGTAATGCTGTGCTAAGTCACCTCTGCGCCATTTGTATCTTTCACAAATATAATCCTTTCAATTCGAGCCAATTACAACCTAAAGCATTTTATAAAACATAGTTTATATCTACATCCAAATATATATCGTTTCATCTGGTCATAAAATAAAACCAGTGACAGAGGCGCCGTGGCACCTCCTACGGTCGGCAGAAATCGGCCCATGTGGGCACAGCCAGGCATCTTGATTGCATTCTCATGAGTGCTTTTTTGAAAATTTGTTGGCCATAATAGATGTTTTAGTAACTTCCATATTTATGCATCAGCGCGATTATCTACCCATGTAGTGAGTGCCATGTAGACGTTTCTCATTCTTACCACCTTATCATATGTTTTTGTTCAGTTCTTTATTTTGGTACCCAAATCTCCCCAAGCGAATTAATGGTAAGTGTGCTACTTGTGTTCACTACTCTTGTTTTCCTTATTTTAAAAAGAGGCGATTCTGGTTATTCCTGGGACATTTAGAAGACCTTGTCAATCGCAGATTGCTTTCTCAGATGTCCGTTCGCCGGGTGTAAGAACATTGGCACATTCATGGCGTATCTATGCCTCAACAATTCTACACGCTACCAGTCATATTGTTACTGACTGACTGAGTTTGGTCTTACGCCGCTTTTAGCAATATTCCAGCAACATCACGGCGGGGGACACCAGAAATGGGCTTCACACATTGTACCCATGTGGGGATTCGAACCCGGGTTTTCGGGGTGACGAGCCAACGCTTTAACCACTAGGCTACCTCACAGCCCCTCATATTGTTACTGTGTGGTCAGGTCGAAGTTTAGTTTCCCTTAGGAGATAAACATCATGTGTTGGCCAATTCCCGGGTGTTATTGAGTATTTGCAGCACGGGAATTCATTTGGAACCGACCGAAATTGGCCAACACATGATGTTTATCGACATTGTAAACACAAAAGTAAACCGAAAGGTCCACACACGTTTTTTTGTCTGCACTCATTGACATCGAGTACGAGTACAGCAGTTTCCCTAGTGAATAATTAATTGGAGCTTTTGATTTTGTACGGTAGCTGGCCTTTTTTTCTGTAAAAGATATATCCACATAACAGACTATTTGTGCACTGTATGTAATCTCTTCGAAGTTGAAGACGAGAATCATGTCTTTTTTTAATGTAAATGTTACGAGTATTGGCGTGAAAAATATTTGGTTCAACTTCGAAAAGTGTGTAGAGGTCCATTAACCTTAGAATCTATTTTCAAGTCAAGAAACAGTCAGGTAACATATTTTACTGCTTTGTTTCTGCATTATGTATTCCAAACAAGATCTGGATCCAGTTGACCACTGTACATCGATTTACACAACTGTATAACTGTATTATAGGCCACTAGGCCGATATTACGCAAATAAGTTGTCTGTCTGTCTTTTTTTCCACACTTCTCGTCGCTTTACTCTCATTTGCTGCCGTAAAATTATTGTCCCCCTTAGAAAAGGTATGTAAGACCACATCTTTCAAAGTAATTTAATCTCACTTCACTTTTCACCTTAGAATATATGTTCATTGAAATTAATTGCTAGAATTGGCCAAATTGCCAACAGCTGAAGGGGATGATGCAAACCCAGCTAGGGTCCATGCAGGTAGCAAAAGTACTGTAAGTCCCCATGGTCCCTAGTATGGTGATTTACTTCCAGTTGTTGGCGATTTTTTTATATTGTATTGTCCAAAAAATGCTATTTGTTTTAGCTTAACGTACTAGTTTTAATTCAACTGTGATAATCCATGTGTTTTACTCTCCTTTGACGTCAAGTTTCATAATACACACATATTCGTTATCAACGTCAAAATTGTTCTCGTCACGATATGGCTGAAACATTGCCGATGTGACGTTAAATATTATCTATCTCACTCACTCACTCACTCACTCACTCACTCATTCACTCACTCACTCAATCGCTCACTCATTCACTCAATCAATCATTTGCTGCCACGTTGGCTTCTGTTAGTCCGGACTTGCCATGTCGCAGTCTAGATAACAATTTCTTGCTTGATCCAATTCATGCGGACCATCATGCAGAGCAAAAACAAAAACCTTTTACACCTGTATGACGAGGGAATCGAACCGACGACTTTCCGCTTTGTTGGCAGACATTTTATTCACTGGGTCAAAGAGGGATTCTCTATGGTTTACAAACGTTTAATCGACAGTATCCTTTAACAAACATTTACCTGATTTTCAATTCCTGTATGCACTTGGTTGTTACTACATTAGTGAAGGCAATTTGTCTTTCAGCTTTAAACGCTACTGTCAGCAGTTTGTTAGATAAAAGACGGCGGCTAACTGATCGAGTCTGGATCAGATAAACCATTGCTTCTTTCTGGCTTCAGTATCTCAAAGATAAGCTTGCAAGTTTCATTTATGCAGCTTCGTGTAGTTTAAGGGCCGTAACGCTAAACAATATTTTACTGCTCCAATTTTCGTCAGTTTACAAGTATCTCTCAGAAGGAAATGCATTCATTCATTTATGCAACTTTGGTAGTTTTCGAGAAAAATTTGACACCATTTCACTCAGTATAACTTTCGGATTTTTAATTTAATCTTGTTCGCGTTTACAACAATCTCCTTCGATTCACGAATTTCATTAGCGGTATGCATTCTCCGGTGTACTGCAGCCGTGCTACTACTAGAATCTAATTCTATGAAGTCGACTGTCGACAGGAACTGAAATATATGAAGATGCTGAATTGACATTTATGACATGAAGTTTGAAACTAAGAAACCAATGACGAAAACATGAAACAAAGGTACCTAACTGTAAAGAATGAATTTAAGACACTGATTTACGATCGTGACGAGCAACATCTGTGTGTCAGATTTCATTTAAGTAAATACAACAGTTTTGTTTCCAAAGCATGGGGGGAGATAATGATAAATCAGCAATCTTTTATAGTCAAAATAGACCACTAACAGCAAGACACAAATTTTGATTCCACTTAACTACAGAGGTCGTAAATATCGGGCATAGTACAAATAAATACAGCAAAACACTTTCTTAACCATATGAAATCGTTGGCAATTCTGAGGTCAACGATTGATCATCACCGTCTCAGATTTTGCCGACTTTGTCTAACAGTGTCAGTTGAACGAAACCTGCACGTTGAGGTTAAAACTTATTTCACCTTGCATTTATATTTATCTAAGCTAGCATCGGAGATTGCAATTGGGCCGTTTGTATATTTTGTGAGTTTCTCATTTCCTGACTAACCGTCGGTTGGACAGATACGTGACGGCGGGCGAAAAATGTAGATTGCAATAACAAATATTTTTGAGTAATCGTGTAATTTATTTTAAGAAATCACAATAGATGTTTGTGTACTTCAATCGATTTGTTTTGAATATGATTGTGTAATAAATGTAGATTAAGACAGAAAGATCAAGTTGACCTTATTTTTATGAGCGTGCGAAGGGATAATAGTATGTTTATATTACAACAGGGGATAGATTCCCTGATGAGAATTGGAAATTGGGAAACGTTTAATTATTTGATGAACATTCGGGTCATGCGGGAGATGAGAAACGAAAATCATCCAGAGAGCCAGACGTACGGGATTTGCGCCTGGTTGTAAAATTTGAGTGCATAATAGTTCTTGCAAGTAAAAAGACGTCTGAGATGAACGTCTTCGTCGACTAATTGCTATCAACACATAATGCAAAACAGCAACACCACAGCGAAACAGAGAGAAAACACATAAAGAAACAGAGATCAATTCTTTAACAACAAAGACTGTTTGATCCAGCAAACCATAGCCTTTGTTGTGCTTTCCTTTATGTATAAGCCAGTTTACTGGTTAACGGGGAGGGATAAGTTACACATTGTATTACTGAAAACAAACGAGAAGCGATAGAGTCTGCTTGCTTTCATTGCTTAGTGAGATAGGAAATCAATTCATTTCGTGGAGGCATTCGTCCAACCTATTGCTTGGTACACGTTAGGATGACGCAGGCATAAGCTGCTGTAACATTCCGTGTGGAAGTATGGCTTTCTTCAGTTTGGTGTTGGTGTTTACAGGGATAGTTTGCAGGTGAGTGATATTTGTCAGACGTTGCGCTCTTCAATATCTAGTAATATGACTTTATTCTGTAAATAATCGATTCTGGAACAGGCAATCCAGTGATTGACATCGTGAGTATTGATCTTCGCATCTGGGATTAGATGACATTTGTCACCCAAGTCACAGAGCCGGACCACCCGATAACGTTTGTTGCGTCTTACGATCAGCAATGGTGGCTAAAGACCTTCAGTCTTTTCACGAAGCAACCTTTACTAAGGTTAACCTCAACTCCCATTCTTTAACATTGCACTAAGGTTACCTTAGTTACTTACGATCACCTTAGTGCTTTGTGAAAGGAGGCCCAATTCTGTTCTGGAATATCCCCGGTCTTTGGATAAGATGTGAAAATATAGCTATAGAATATGCCACAGTGTCATGTTAAAGTATTCTTGAACGTTATATTTTATTGAAACAAAACCAAAACAAAGATGACAAATAGAAAACCCACACTGTTGAATTATACCACAGTTTTATTAAGAATTGAATGTCAGTTTGTGTTTTTGCACTGAAAAATGAACGATGTCAAAGCGTTGTTCAAACTCGCGTGAACGAGCGAGTTTTAGAGCGAGTTCACACGAGAGTTTGTTATCCAACAAGCATTATCTTTTAGTGGATAGCCTAGTGGTTCAAGTGTTCACTTTTCATGTCGAAGACACGTGTTCGGTTCACGACAATGTACAAAGTGAAAAGCTCTTAAGGGTGCCCCTACACTGCACCTGCACTACAGATCGTACATCTTCATTTCACACTTTGGGATGCTGTTTTTTGTTAAGAGCTGCAGCTGACCAAAGAATTTGCCTTATGGTCGTATTCAGAAACTATTTTTATCATGCGAGATTTGAGCTGGTGCCAAAACAAGGTTCTTTTGCAGTCGACTTACAGAAGCGCATCTACACCAAACCACTGTCCGTCGATCGGCAGAGATCGCCATCTTCATTCTCATTGGGCGTCATTTGAGAATTGCCTTAATATATATTTAGCCTGCGACCTCGTTGCATCGCGGTACTTGACATATCCATAATCGTAAATAAAATTGTGAACTTATAAGGCCTATTTTATTATGAAATCCGATTAACATGACATTTAACCAAAACATTTGTGAAAAACATTATAATTAACTTTGATCGTGTTTCAGGGGGAGCCATTAAACGAACGAAGCCGGTTAATATTTACCAAAGGAGAGAACTCGATGCCATTGTGGTAAACAATACAATTTAATCCCCCGGGAGATAAAAATAGCTCATGGCTTCACTTCCGCTATCTTACATGGCAACAATGATATGCTGACAACCTAGTTCAGATGGCGTAGGGAGGGTCCTATATGAAACGTAAATATTATTGCAGGTACTTGCTGGATGGGGGTCATACTGATTCCAAAAGATTCCAGAGTTTAATGTTAATATTTCTGCTGGATAACACTTACGAAGATTCGATACATTCTGATGGTTTCCCAAACGAAAACAAGTGACTGACATCTAGCAGTCGATTTACATATGCAAATCACCTCTAGGAGGCATGTCTCGCTCGAAGAACCGGAAATACCACTTGCCACAATACCATGAATGCCGAGATACAACGTGGTCCGAGCGTTTTATTCGCATGTTTTCACCATGCATAGATTTGATGTGGTTATCTGGTGTGTACGCATACGTATCCATATTCTGAAGGTGTTTCAGTAATTTAGTCTTCCAAATAAAGTCAAGAGCTTGATATTGAATTTTATGACTTGCACCCCAAAAAGAGAAAAGATCCCAAACCACTCGAAAGAATGATTGGTTACTTTTACTGTAATTCACCACTCCCGTGCCTATTGTTATCCAAGTATCTCACCATTTTGTTAACATAGGTGATGACGGCCCTGTGTCTCACCATGTCTACCACTTGTTAAACCATGTGATAGGGCTCCCTGCTTGTCTTTCAGTTTCTCACGTTCCGTCAAGCCAAGTAATAGCAATTCCACTTTTCCTATCACCCAAGTGTAGGGGGCTCCAAACATTACAAACATTTACAGACATTTGTTGTTACAAACATTTACCTGATAACATCACCTGAATTTCAATTCCTCTATACACATTGCTATAACGGTATTAGCGAAGACAGGTTGTCTTTTTGGTTTAAGGCCACACTCAGTAGTGTGTGAGATACAGAGCGGAGGCTGTGTGGTCGAGTCTGGGTCAGATAAATCACTGATTTGTTCCGCCTCATGACCACAAAGACAAGTTTGCAAAGTTTCATTACTATAGCTTCTTGTGCATTCTGAAAAAGAGCCGTAAAACTGTCAACATGATTTATTGTTCTAATTATGTCAGTCTTGACAAGCATTTTCATTCGTTCATCTTTAGCAGTTTTTAAACAAATCGTGCCACCATCTTTTGCAGTATGAAAAGCAGGAAATGAGGTGCCAAACTGTCAAAGATTGACACCAATCTGCGATGGCAACAAAGAAAGTCAGTCTGTAAAATTTCATTTCTGTAGCTACAACAAAGTGTTTTTAATGGGGGACTAGGAATAACAAGTCCAGTGAATAGCCATCGTTTCGACCGATGTCACGTGAACCTGATGTTAATGATAAAGTGTTTGTAGTCAAAATCGACCACCAACCTCCAGAGACAGGCCATTGTACGAACAAGACTATGTTCTACGCATAAGGTGCGTAATTGTGCAGGTTGAGATTAAACCTCTTTTCGCATTTATGCTGGTCTATTCTAGCAATGGATCTTTTGATGTGGGAATGAACGTTCGCGGGAGATGCGAAACAGAAATTCAACAGAGAGCCTTACGTGATTCGGGTCTGGCAGTAGAATTTGAATGTATGGTAAACGTAATAGCTGAGGTGGTATATTTCATAGCCGTTATTTCTAGGAATTACTCAGTAACCAATTTTTCCGGAATTGCCGATTTTGGGCAGTAGCTCTGTATTGACGTGATTTAAGTTACAATTTTGGGTAAGTGCCTGTATGTTCTAGAAGTCTGGAATTCCTGGTTTAGTGGAAGCGCCTGAATTCTTTGGTAACAGCGGTTTTACCGTGTTAATTGGGGTATTGATCCCTTAGAACTTAGGATTTTTACATTCAGCTGCCAATGATAAAACTGATCACTTTTACTATGTTTCCTGGTATTACTTTCTGTTTATTTATTGAGTGAGTGAGTGAGTATAGCTTAACGATACTTTTAGCAATATTCCAGCAATATCAATGCGAGATAAATTGAATGGCATTCTGATCACATGTCGCATATCGTTCACACAATCATGTTGTTTGCTAAAGTGGACTTCACAAATCATGACATTCAATGGATTTTGTATTAGATTGCACAATTGAACGAGTGTTCCAAATATAGCTTTGTTGTTGAATGAGTCCAATAAGTTTGCTGCTGAGAATCTTCAGGCCAAGAACAGTTTTGGTGTGATATTCATTATGACAGTTAAATAAGAGACATGGGGATATCGACTGAGATGAAATGCACCTGAAGACATACAAATATTTTGATAAGCCGGTACTAGGGACATTGACTTTTGAGAAGCACACCGCATACTCTATTGACGTACAGGGCAGATGTCCCAGACTCGAGATGCAAGATGCACTCTGGTGAGTGCTGCAAACATTGTGTAGTCAAGTGCTTGATACTGAATTTTATGACTGTGGAGATTTTGATTGATCTAAAAGGCAAGTTCAATGGAGCTTTGAGTAGACAAAGTATACAGACTAGCGAAAAGATTTATTTGTGTAGTTTTCGAGAGGATGAATAACTTATGTCTTCATGGACTAATTGCGATGAACAAATAATACAAAACACAATCATATGGCACAACAGAGAGCAAACACAGAACGTTTTTAAAACAGTAATCAATTCTTTATCAGCTTTGACTATGTTATCAATAGAGACAGGACACGGATGACAGTTTTTTTAACGGTGCCGTGATCATAAGTTCCATATTGTGGGCCCCTAACAAACAAAAAGCAAAACAGAAGCGACTCAGCTCGTTGCATTCTTTCTTTAGTGAGATGGGAAATCAATTATTTACATCCTTGGATCTTAGAGGAAGTTAGGGTGGCGCATAAGTCACTACAACAGTCCGTTTGGAAGGATTCTGTGTGGAGAGATGGCTTTGTTCAGTTTTGGTTTGATGTTTGTCTGCCCCTACACTGTACCTGCACTATACATCGTACATATTCATTTCACACCTTTTGGATGCTGACTGAGTTTTTTGTTAAGAGTTGCAGTTGACCAAAGAATTTGCCTTATGGTCGTATTCAGAAACTTTTATTATCAAGCGAGATTTGAGTTGGTGCCAAGACAAGATTCTTTTGCAGTGGACTTACAGAAGCGCATCGACACCAAACCACTGTCGGTCGATCGGCAGAGATCGACATCTTCATTCTCATTAGGGCGTCATTTGAGAATTGCCTTAAAGGTCACATGCAACGTAAAACACAACTTTGCAGATTCTGATCCTTTACGGTATGACTTACCGAAACAAATCGACAAAAATGCAAATTCAACTTATAAAGTTAAAAAATAACGCGATGAAAAAAAACGCGCGAAATCGGAGTTCAAACGTTTCACTAATTTTCCCCCGACTTTTCTGGGGAAAACAGGTTTCAACAGCTGTGCTGCGCTCATAGCACGTGCGCAGTGAAATAGGTTCGCGCAGCTTGGAAGCGGGTTGTCGGGTGAATACTCGGTGAAGGCTTTGGTGTGAGCTATTTTTCTAATGTTTTGTTGATATCTCACAGGCGCGAGCTTTTTATATGTTATGACAGTAAATTAACTGTTTATATATTTTCATTTGTCTATTTCACCACACGTTCTTCTTACCGAGTCACTTTCTCAGTTCGATACTTCAAAGCAATGTCATTATTTAGCGTTGTACAGAATTTCTAACTGTGATATAGATATGTCATTGTCACAGACAAAACTCAATGTCTTGTTTTATTGACACCTGTGTGTCTGCCTGCCTGTCTGACAAT